TTTTTTTTGTTTCCAAGTTGCTGAATATGAATTACCTAATAGATCAGTAACAATATGTCCAACAAATTCTTTAATTTCATTAGAATGTCCACAATCACCAGAATATCAAACATGGCAATCAAATCTTCCAGCATTTCTTATATCAATTGATTATATTCGTTCATTTCCATCACGTCTTGGTCATGATTCAAGTTCATGTCAACCTGATCTATCACATAATTGTAATAATTATGATTTACGTTATATAAATACATTATGTAATGGAAAATCTCAATGTTCTGATATTCCAACATATCAAATACGTGATCGAAGTTTATGCGCATTTAAAGCAATTACAGAAATTGGTTTTCATTGTGTACCAACATGGAATTTACGTGATATACAAACAAAATGTGACATATGTAAAAATGGTTCATTAACAAATGATTATGGTTTTATATATTCACGAAATTATCCATTACAAACATTACGTATACCATGTTTTACAACAATCTATGCACGACCCTATCATAAAACTGTACTTTATTTTGTTAGTGGACAATTAAATTATGATGAATTAAGAATTGAAAGTGTCTCATCAGACGGTATTACGATTTTAAATATAACTTTAAATGGAAATCATACAACACATCAATTAGCTGTATCAACATATGAATTGAAAATAACATTTTTACCAGGACATATTTATTCACAACATCCAACAAATTATTTACTTTATTTTTATACAATACCATTTTGTTCAATAACAGAACCATGTGTACCTATACCATTACCATCAATAACAACAAATATACCAACAATAATAACAACAAGTCGAATGCGAATTCAATCAATTGGATGGACAGGAATATCAAGTGAATGAATAATTTGTTATTAATAATACTATTTTTTTTTTGATTTTTCTATAGATATTTGGATTGTTATTCCAATTATTTTAGCTTATGTACTACTTTTACTTCTTGTAATCGTTTTAGCACTTTTATTCCAGTAAGTAGATATATGATATATTTAATCTTTAATCGTTTTTTTCTTAAATATTTTAGACGTCGTCGTAAACAACAAAAAGCCTTAGGTACTATCGGAGCAAAAACTTTAACATCACGTTATTTAGATACAAGTGGTACTTCAAGTCGTGCACAACTAGTTACACCACTACCACCTCTTCCTAATAATAATCCTGATTTAAATTCTTATCGTCATACAAGTGTATCACAAAGTACACATTATCCTATAACAAATACATCATTTGCACAAAATATGGAAAGATATCATCGTGAAAGTCGAAGTGATTATGATCTTCATCATAATTCTATGAATGGTATTGATTATGATTATCATACATCTGTACCATATCGTAGTCATACATCAATGAGTAATGTTATTCGTCGTCCCTATGGTACAATAGATTATAATATGAATCATCCTCCTCGTCGTCGTTCATTACCAAAATCATTTTCTGATTGTGATTTATGTAAACGACAAGTTTTATCTGAAGAATATCAAGATTATTATAATAATGATGATAATTGGCATTTAGAAAATACATTAGAACGATGTACAGAACCAAAAGCATATCGAGAAAAAATAAAAGAACGTTTTCGTGAACGTTTAACAGTACGAAAAATTCCTCATACAGATATTTTACCACCATCAACTACTGTTGAATATTCAACTGTTCTACCAAGAAATCAACGAATTGGAAGTGAAACAAATCGACAAAATCATCATTTACCATTTGAATATATTCCAAATGAAAATTCAAAAAATGTTCGTACTGTTGAATATAAACGAAATTCAAATGAAGAGCATGTTGCTATTGGTAATAATCAACAACGTATAAAAAATGATGGTGATAATGGTACATCAAATTTTACTGTTAAATTTTATGAACAAGATGATGATGAAATAAATAATCGTCTTGATCGATGTTTACATGAAGCACGAGAAATTCAAGAAATGTCAATGAGAATGAGCGAACAACAACATTCAAGTTTTAATACACATCAATATCATCATCAACAACGTTATAATGATAATGTTGATATTTAATTGTTGTTTCTTTTTTTTGTCAACAAATAGAAATATCATTTGATGGTTTTTTTTTATAAATGTCTTCTTTTTTTTTCAAATGTAACTCTCAGACAAAAAACCTTGAATTTCAATTATCAACATTGACACTTATATATATACATATGTATGAACCTTGTCCTATTCTTCTGTTTGTCATTTAAGTCTTTATGTTATTTATTTTGTTCTCATATCAAAAAAGATATTGCACAACACGATTCGTTGCTGATATAACATGAGGGACACGAGCAATAGGTCCAAATGTTGGCCGATTAAATTGTTCACGAGTTGATTCATTAGTAGTATAATCAAATGGGCCAAGACGATTAAGAGATACATCAGAACCAAATGTACCCTAAGCATAAAGAATGAATGAAAAGGTTTTAAAAAAAAAGAAATCTATCATACTCGACCAAGACCGGGTGTTTGTGTTGCAACAGATGTTTTTGCAGTGCGTCTAACCATATCACGTTCACGTGCTGGATAAACTTGTTGTTGCATTTTATCAAAATTAGTTAATAAAACAGCATCACGACGAGGAACAAAACCAATATCACCAAGTGTATATGCAAGATTATCACGACGTTTACCTGCTTGTCTTTTTAAATAAATAAATTTTAGTATTACTTAATTTTCTTCAAAAATCTCTATTGAATTACCGAACATTCAATGTTGGACGATTGACTTCAGTATTAGATGATGCTTGAGGTTGTTCATCAAGATCGATTTCTTCTGTACATGTTAAAATTTCATGAAGTTCTTTGAAAAGATTGCCACTCTTTTCAGGTGCAATAAGATTTTGTGGTTGTCCTGAAGGAACTAATGCACCTTTTTCTTCTTCTCGAATCTATGTAAATAGAATATAAAATAATATATACATCGGTATTTAGTGTCAGTTTGAGAGTTGGCTACATTAAGAAATATTGATAGATTACAATATGAAAGACTAGTATCAGTTTTGTACTTATCGGAGTTTTGAATGTTGCTTATGAGATAAAGAATTTCAAGACATTAGTGACTTTAATTGCAACATTTTTTACATAGCAGATTACCAAACTTCTCAAACTCATTCATTGAATTCCAACGTAATCTTTTAATCATTTCTAAAATGTTTTCATCGCATATATGTACACAAAATCCTAATTATCAAAAACTGTTTTTTGTATAGTTTGATACCATTACGATGAACTCTTTGAAAGAATAAAGTAATCATTCATAATTGAACTTATTCTTTCTCACGTAAAATCTAATATGTATATTCTCCTGTCAAATTTACTATTACCGTAAAAGTCAATCATTAATAATTATTCATATACTCAAGCTATATGCTTAAGGGTGGGTGTGGGTGTGAGTTCAGAGATAGTAGATACCGACACCCTCAAGAATAAACGAACCTTAAGTGTGTCTGTAATGAGTCCAACAGATCGTCGTAAATTTGAAAGTAGAATAGCTTTATCTTTTGTTTTTTCTGCTATTAATTGATCAAGTTCATGCAATTCTTCTTGATATGATTTATTTTCTTGACGAAGGGTTGGATAATTTTTTCTATAAAAATTTAATTATTTATTAATCAATCAATGGAGAAAAAGCTTCATTTTTACTCATTATTAAATATTGATGAACGTAATTCTTCCATACGTCTTTCGGCAGTATCCATTCTTGCTACTTCTTCTTGTTTTTTTATAATAATTTGTTCTTGATTATTTAACATATTTGCAAGTAATTGAATAATCTATAGAAGAAGAAGAAAAGCAAACAAAAATTTTAATGTAGCTTAATTTTAAATAAACAAACTTCAGCTGATGTTGCATGTTGAAATGCATGATGTTGTTCTTTATTTTTTAAAGTTTGAATTCCCATTTCTACTTGATTATTCTTGAAAAAGAAAAAAAGCAAATTTAATAAAAAGAAAAAGAAAATTTTACTCCGTCATGAATATGTTCATTTTCATTTTCAACACGTGTTGTAACATCTTTCATATCATCAACTGTTTGTTCAATACGTGCATTTTCATTAATTGTTCGTTTTGTTGTTTCAGCCATTTGTTTATTCGATGCTCGACGAAATTCTGATGCAACATGATTCATTTTTTGTATCATATCTCGTTTTAATCTATTAAATTATTAATTCTTTTTAGTAAAGCAAAATAATAAAATATTTTTGTTTAATACCGATCACGATCAACTTGATCTTTTGTTTTAATACTTTCTAATTTTCGTATATGATCTTCTTCTTGAAATTGAAATGTATCTTGTTGTCGTTGTCGTTGAGATAAATATGTATCTTGTTTAGCACGAAATATTTCTAAATCAGAAACTTGATTCCCTAAAAAAACAACAAGATGGTTTTATTTTTGATTAGAACTGTAACTATAACATACGTAATTCACTATTTTCAGCTTCATAACGTTCACGTAAATCATTTATTTCATTTTTTAAATCATTTAATTGTTTTTGTAACATATCTTTTTCAAGTTCTTTAGCTTGTCCTAATCCAACAAGACGATCTTTTAAATCAGCAATTTCTTCTTCTTTAAGTTCAACTTGTTTTTTAGCATATTTAAGCATTTCAAAATCTTGTTCTAATGTTTTAACTTGATCTAATTCAGCTTGTTGTCGAGCTTTTAATTCATCACATCGTTGTTGATATCTAAAAATGAATAAATATAAATTCAAAAGAATATTTCAAAATCATGTTAATTACCTTTCAAATTGTTTTTCTAATAATTCAATTTGTGTTGTATAAAATTTTTTATCATTTTCATTTAATTTAATATCAGGGATATATTCTGGGACAGCGGGTGCTTTCTTCTTTTTGCCTTTTCCTTTATCTTTACCTTTTTTTGGACCCATTTTAATAAATATATATATATATAATCTAAAATAAAATCTACACAAGCTTTGATTAAATACACGATTAGAAAAATGAATATATAAGGATTTATTAATGAAAGAAAAAGAAAAGCAAATGAAGATTGCACAAGAGCTTATGTAGAAAGTAATGATGGTCGACGTTTTCGAAATGGTAATGATTTAGGTCGTACTGCTGATACATCGGTTTGTATATGATATGGAACAGGATTCTGAAAAATAAATTTGATTGAAATTAATTTATATTAGAGAATAAAAATCATACTCGATTGGAAATATTTGTCTGAATAGCAACTGATTTTGTTTTAAGTTTCTTAAGAGAACCTAATGGTTGAGCTGGTGATGGTAAATTATCATAGTCAATAGTTGTTGCTAATAGGTCATCTTCATTTTTAACAGCTAATTCTTTTAAGTTAGGTCCAATACCGAGTTGTGTAGCTACATTCAGAAGTCGAAAAATATTTTCAAAAGCACCTAAACGAGTATCGATTGTTCGTCCAGTATTCGATGTATCTGAAGAATCCTTTTTTGAAAAGAAAACTATCATATATATGAAATAAATTCAAATAATTCAATCAAACTTGTAAAACATCATTTAATGCTTGAATTGTTTTTTCAATAGGATATTTTGCTTTTTCCATGTCATGTTCACATTGTGAAAGTGTTTCTTTTCGTTGTGCAATAGTTCTTCTTAACGATTCATTTTCTTCATAAATTTGATAACGACGTGCGCTTTAGAAACAAAAAATAATAATAATAATTTTGTTTAAATAATAAATATATAATTTTACTCGGTATTAGTATTGACTTCTTCTAATTCATCAATTAATTGTTGTGTATAATCAAATGAAGCTATTTTTTCATCAAGTGTAGCAATAAATTGTTCATGTGCACTACATTCTTCAGTTAATTTTTCGATTAATTGATATGTTTTACGATTCTTTTTTGCCATCATCCGTTCACGTTCATCAAGTAAACTCAATTCAAGTGATTTACTTTTTTTCTATTTTAAAATAATACTTAAAATTCAAAAAAAAACTTTCTTTTTAATCTTACTTGTTCACGAATTTTTCCATTTTCTATTTCAACATGATTATAATCACTTTCAATAATTGCCATTTGATTATTAAGTCGAACATTTTCAAGAATTATTTGTCTAGTTGTTTGCACAACTTGCATTTTTGATACACGGCGAAATTCAGATGATAAATCATTAACACGTGCAACCATTTCCTTGCGTAATCTAAATAGATATTTTCCTTCAGATAGCTGATAATAGCAAAATTCGGAAAGCGCTTATTTTCACGCCGGAATGATTAGACTATTTCTCTTATTTAGTAAAAACCTTTACTTGTCTTTTTCTAAAATTGATTCTTTTTCTTTATAATAAAGTTCTTCTTGTTGATCATGTTCCTGTTGTTTTAATTTTTCATCTAATTGTTTGATTTCATTAAATAAACTTTCTTTTTTAGTTTTCAATTCATCCAAAGAATTTAATTTTGCTTTTAACATTTGATTTTCGCTTTCATTTTTATCACGTGTTTCTTGTAAATCTCGTGTACGTAATTCATAAATTTGTTTTAAGAATTCATTACGTTCAGCTTCTTTTAAATCATTTAATTCTTTTAATTGACGATTTAAAAGATTTATTTCTAGATTAATTTCATCCATTTGTCGACCAAGAAAAGCACGTGAACCAAGACGAATTTCTTTTAATGTTTCTAAACGTTCACCATTTGTATGTTGTGAAACTAAATAAGTATCACATTCTTGTTGTAATCTAAATGCAGAATTAAAATATTTTCATAGGAAAATCAAATATATATCTTACTCATCAACTTTCTTTCGAAGACTTTGAACTTGAACTTGATAGAAGTCTTTAACATTTTCTTCCATTGGGATAATAGGCTCGGCCTTAGCTGAATCGACTTTCTTCTTTTTCTCACCATCCTTCTTTTTTCCATCATCTTTCTTTTTGCCTTTCTTTTTTGGAGCCATACGAATAGAACTTTAAATAATCGAAATAACAACTACTTCAAATGTTATCGAGTGATCAAAGCCATTTGGTAATTATTCACCATGGTTACATATTAGGAAATCCATAGATCTTTTTCTAGATAAGGTTTATCATAGAAAAAAATATAATTCCAATATATTTTTGTATTACGAATTAGAGATTTTAATTAGCATAGATGTCGCTAATTTTGAGTTCGTTTTCTGATTGGATATTTACAATTACAAATTAAGAAATTGATTTATCTTCTACTTTTATTATTTACTATTTATTTTTGAAAAATTTCTTCTAGAAGTTCGTTATATGATTTTATATTTTAGATCTTTTTGTTCGTTTACCTATGGCATCTGAAAGTGAAACTGAAATAGATCAATCTATTGAAGTACATGAGAAGAAGAAAAGTATGTGTTGTTACCGTTTTATTATCAGTGATCTGATAATTAAAAAATTTTTTTTTAGAAGATAAGTTAAAAAAGAAAAAGCGAAAACTTGAAAATGGTAATGAAGTGACAACAAATAACAAAAAGAAAGCAAAAAAACAAAAATTAGAACAAGAAAATGAAGAAGAAGAAGAAGAAATAGTGAATGATGATGGAGATCTTTCATCAACTTCTATCGATGCAAATAGAGATGATAAAATCGAAACAACCGGTAAATGACATTTTATTTTTCGGTGTGAATGCGATAGCAATATATAGATCTCATCCACACTCACACCTTAAAGAATATCACTTTATCCTCTTAATTTGTATTTTAATATTATAGGTGAATATATTCCATCTGGTGGTAATCTAACATCCGTTAGCTTTGAATCATTAGCGGACAGAGGCGTTTCTGATTTAACATTAAAAGCTCTTAGTGAAATGAAATTAACAACAATGACTGAAATTCAAGCAAAATCTATTCTACCATTACTCGAAGGACGGTAAAGAAACCTTTCTATGATGTTTTTTTCTTTCAAATTATCTTCTTATGAAAATTTTCTAGTGATTTACTTGCATCAGCTAAAACAGGTTCGGGTAAAACATTAGCATTTCTTATTCCTGTTGTTGAATTGATGTATAAATTACGTTTTATGCCACGTAATGGTACTGGAGCAATCATTATATCACCAACACGTGAATTAGCTATGCAAACATATTCCGTGGTAAAAGAATTATTAGCCTATCATCATCATACATATGGTTTAATTATGGGTGGAACAGGACGACAAGATGAAGTTAAAAAACTTACTAAAGGTGTGAATATTATTGTTGCAACACCAGGTCGTTTACTCGATCATCTTCAAGTAATAATTTTCGATTGAATTTTATTTTAGATTTGCTTTTGCATTTTTAGAATACAAAAGATTTTATGTATAAAAACTTACAATGTTTAATTATCGATGAAGCTGATCGAATTTTAGATATTGGTTTCGAAGAAGAAATGAAACAAATTATACGTTTATTACCAAGTATAAATAAAGAATTTATTTATAAATAAATAAAATAAATAAATATTTTTGTATTTTAATAGAACGTCGTCAAACAATGTTATTCTCTGCTACTCAAACTCGACGTATTGAAGATTTAGCTAAAATTTCACTTAAAAAAGAACCATTATATGTTGGTGTTGATGATGCAACTGATCAAGCAACTGTTGAAGGACTTGAACAAGTAATTTATTATTTTTCTTTTCTTTTTATTAAATATTTATTATAGGGTTATGTTGTTGTTCCACAAGATAAACGATTTCTTTTATTATTTACATTTTTAAAAAAGAATCAAAAGAAAAAAATGATGGTCTTTTTTTCATCATGTATGGCAGTTAAATATTATAATGAATTACTCAATTATATTGATATACCAGTGTTGAGTATTCATGTAAGAGAAATAATTTTGTTAGATTTAATATATATAAAAATATATTTTATTATTAGGGAAAACAAAAACAAGCCAAACGAACACATACATTTTTTGAATTTTGTAATGCTGAAACAGGCATTTTGTTATGTACGGATGTAGCAGCGCGTGGTTTAGATATTCCAGCAGTTGATTGGATTATTCAATTTGATCCTCCAGATGATCCAAAAGTAAAATTTGAATTTAATATGAGCGTATCTATTTATTAGAAAATCTACAAATACTGAAATTTATATGATCATCTGAAGAAATAAATATCCTCGCTTTACTATTTTTCATTGATGTATATGATTTAAATGTATCTATTTTGATAGAGTTGAATTGAGTTATTGTCAAAGAAAGATATACGAATAGAATGTGTTTGTAATTTTCTATATACCTGAATATAAACTTGAGTTTGAATTTGATGTGAATGAGTAATACAAATCTGATTTAGATCGTTTTCATATAAATTTGTTTTCTTACCTAATAGAGATGTACTGACGAGGGAATCGCACAAGGATGTACACTACAATTTCCTTCGTTCATCTTGAGAGTGTATGTATGAGTGTCAATTAAAAGTTGAGACATTTACCCCACGCCCATCCTCAAGAAACTTCTTACCTAACTAGTCGCAGTTGTGAGCTAGTAAAGCTGAAAATTTCAAATGTTTAAGGACTAACCTGACTACGTTATGAGATTTTCCGTTTTTCACTGGGAAGATTAAAAAACGGCTTCTATTTTCGAAGATAGAGGAATGTGCCGAAATTCTTTTAGGCTTTTTACTAGCTCGAAGTACTCCGTCGAATGATATATGAACGAAAGAAATTGGAGCGTATCACCATGGGTGGTTCCTTCGTGAGTTCAAACGATCTCTTTTCAGCATTAATACTTTTCGGTCTCACTCCTTCCATTTTTCAAAAGATGTATTATCCAATTATTTTAATTCTAATATCATTTAGGAATATATTCATCGTGTTGGTCGTACTGCACGTGCTGGTGCTCATGGTCATGCATTACTTATTTTAACACCACAAGAACTTGGCTTTCTTCTTTATCTTAAACAAGCTCGAGTAACATTAAGTGAATTTGAATTTGCATGGAATAAAATAGCCGATATTCAACCTCAAGTTTGTCATATTTTAGTCTTATCTATATATACATAAACATCTTTTTGTTTGTTTTCATTTAGTTGGAGAAATTAATTGAAAAAAATTATTTTCTTCATTTAAGTGCTAAAGAAGCTTATAAAGCATATGTTCGAGCATATGCAAGTCATAGTATGAAAAATGTTTACGATGTTGAAAAATTAGATTTGGTTAAAGTTGCATACAGTTTTGGCTTTCGTGTTCCACCTGTTGTTGATCTTGGTAAATTTTATAATTGATTTTATATATTTAATTTTTTAATATAAAATTTGAATCATTCTAGGTGTTTATTCAAGTAAAAAGGGAACAAAATCGAAAAGTGGATTCGTTCGACCGAAACAAGAACGAAAAGTTAAAATCTTTAAAAATTTAAGCAATGAAAAATCGAAAAAGAAATTTACACGATAAAATATTGTTTTTGTTTGTGACAATTGTTACTGATTTTGTTTTTTTTTGATGTTATTCAGTAAATTTGTCGCTGTTCAATTGTTATCGCTTTGAAACGATAAACGAACTAACAATCTCAATTGAAAATTATTTCATCTCTTTTTCGATAGAAAGGAAAATGCTGATAATTAAGAGAATTTCGATGGATATTTGAGCTTGTGAAAGTAACTCTATTGTCTGGAAACAATAATCGAACTTATTAGTGACTAGGGAAAGCAAAGTTTTATAGGTCTCCGTAATAATCATTGATACAGTAATGTAAGAAGATCGATCAATTAGCTTACATGCAGGTAAAGTTTGCAAATAACCCCGAAACGATGACTCGAAGAACGTAGACAACAGTCTTAAGCAAAGTTTGTGTATTGAACGACAATTATTTTTACATGCCACTGTATATACTAGATAATAATATTGAGAGAAAGAACGTATATTCGTTATTTCATTGTAAGAATTTACTCGAAAACATAGGCGTATCTTTATATTATACTGTTATCCGCTATATTCACATCAAAATTTATAGAAAAAAATGAATTCTATCGATATAAATGTCATTTGTATGCTTTGAATAAATTCCCGTAATCAAAAAAGACTGAATAATCTCTTTCTTTAACTATTATTTCTCGTAACAAAATTCCTATCAACAATAGAGGGTTTAATCGTAAAATTCGTTGCTTCTCTCTTAATTGTTTGCAATTTCATCATATTTGATATATTCTTATTTCCCAACAGATATTTTTATAAGTGTCTCAAACCGTTCATTGATTTGCTTGAGTTTTGATTAATTTACAAAGAATCACACTGAACAGAGCAAAAGAAAAAAAGAATACAGAAAAGAAAAAACAATTGACCATGTTTTAACAATAAACATATATGTATATATCGAGCCCAAAAAAAACAAGAAATCTAATTCTAATAGAAAACAAAAAAAGAGAAAAATAATCAATCACAGGTATGTTTATAAACAACAACTGGTATTCATCAATCTTTAATAAGCGAAATAGAACGAGAAACCATAAGAAAAAAGTCTGATTTTTATATCAGTCAAAGAAAATAAACGTGTCACAAGCTAGCAAGAAATGCGAGCATTAAGCATGAAAAAGAAGAAAAAAAGAAAATCACTGTGTCTACAATAGACGATCAAATTCAATCATTAAGCACCGAGATTGTTGTCGCTTTATGAAGATTTTCTCCTTCATCATTATTATCAGTTGGCTAAATAGAGAAAAAAAACAAAAGAAAAATAATTTTTTTTAAATTCAAAATTCTTTACTTGAAAATCATTATCAGCCGTTATTAAAATTGGTGCAGACGATATTGGTGTTGTACTTAACAGCCATTGATCAACTTTGTCTGTACAATTAAAACTATCTGATCTAATTAATGATGATGATGATGATGAATTATAATTATTCGATCTATCTATTACTTGTTGTTGTTGATCATGTCGAACTGAACGATAACCTTCATCAGATATTTGACGATCAATCTGATTATTGGATATATGTAAAGGTATTAAATGAGCATTTAAATCTTCATGATCATCTTTATTCGATGATGATGATGTTAAAGTTTTTTTATCATCTGATGATGTTGATAAACGTTCTTCAAGAATATTTGTTATATGTGAAATTGGTTCTTTAATTGATTCAACTAAAGATGATGTTTCCGAATATGTATCTAATGCTGAATCTCGAATATCATCATCATCAATTTCTGATTGACTTTGTTGTTCATTATCATATGATATTTGTCTATGATAATGAGATAATTCATTTAAATATGATTCAAGACTTTGTTTAAAAAATTCAAGAGATTGTATTGTAGGAAATAGATCATATTCATACATTGGCATCGATGGAAGTGTATCAGAACTACCAGTTGAATTACGAATATGATTATATAAAACTATCATTTGTGGATTATGTGTTATAGCAAAATTCTATTTTAGAACAAAAAAACGAATATTTATTTTTTTAGTTAAAAAAAAATATTTTAACCTTTTTATTTTTTTTATGTTTTTTTCCAACGACAGAAAATTGTTGTTGAAGTTTTTTTTGTTGTCCACCATATTTATTAAGAATATCCGATGATAATTCTTTTTTATATTCAATTTCATGTCCATCATAATAAGGTGAATGAATGATTTCATTTGTAGTTGAAGCATTTAAATTTAATGGAGTAAAATTTCGTGGTAATTTCATAGCTATAGTTGTTGGTGGTGGTGGTTCATTTATTGATATATTATCAGAATTATGTTCTTCCATATATGAAGAAAGTATAGATTGTTCTTCAGATGGTGTTATTGGATGATAGAGAGGTGATGTTAATTCTGAGGATGGTGTTAAACATGTTTGATTATTAATATTATTAAGACCATGTTCATTTAATTTTTCACGAAAATAATTTAGTAATGTATTAACTTTATCCAGTTGAGTTTCATATTGATGTTTTTCATATTCTAAACTGAAAAAACAAAAACGTCAAGTCAATTAATAATAAGAATTATTTACCAATCTTCTTCGAGAGACATGTGAGATTGAACCGGTGTTTGAGCATCGGTTGAAGGCGAATCGAGTTGTTTGGATTGATTAGATAATAAACGACGACGTGATTTTTTTCCATTCGTAGAAGATGATGTATTATTTGAGGATACTAATTGTTCACGTTCATTACGTAAACTTTCAATTTCTAGATTAATTTTAAAGAAAAATTGTAAATCTTTTTCGATAGTTTATAGAATACTAACTTGTTTCAATTGTAGGTAGTTTTTCTGCATTTTCACCTAATAATTGCTTGATTTCAGTTTGTTTTCGTAGATTTTTATTTAAATTTTCTTCTAATTTCTAAATAAAAAAAAATGAATGTATTGATTTTTCATTGAAATAAAATAGTTTAATTAACCTTTCGTTTAACAGTAGCTGCTTGTTGTGCATCTTCAGCTGATTTAAGACGGGCTTTATATTCATCTTCTTCTCTAAAAAGAATAATTACAAAATTCTATTTATATATATATTATTTCGAATAAAAATATTTACTTAAGAATAGGTAATGCTGCATCAATTGAACGAATTTCTCCACGTGCTAAATCACGATATTCTTCTGTTTTATTTTCTTTTTTTAATTCAACTTCATATCGTCTAAAAACAAGGGAGAAACATATTTTTTTTCAAAAAGAAAAGCAAATATTAATCAATCTAACCGTTTATCTCGAAGTGCTATTGCTAAATTAGTATAACGAAGTCGAGAACGTGATCGAAGATTTGTCATTTGAACATGCTATAAAATCATAAGTCATATTAAGATAAATAATAAAATTGGTTAAACTAGAATATCTACTATCCATTTCAAAAAACAAAAGGCGGATGAGTATTTTTTGATAGGAACAAGATAGAGAGAGATACGATTTTCACCATTAGAAAGAGCAGATGAAGAGGCATCAAAACCTAAATGGGAAGATTTCTCTAACTACTTCCCAAAGACTACAAGTCAGATGTTTTGAGAAAACTACCTTTTTCTCACACGTGAATTAGTAGTAGTCATGAGTAAAACCTTCACACAGTTTTGGTAGTTCTTGATCTGGCGATTCTAGAACATTCCCGAAAATGAACGAACTAATGTAGCGTTAATGTGAGACATACTGATTGTCCAAGAGATTCCTATAACAGCCTTTGGGAAGTAGTTAGAGAAATATTCTCAGATAGGTTTTGATGCATCTTCATCTGCTCTTTCTAACGGTAAAACCCGCAGCTCTCTATCTTGTTCCTATCAAAAAATACCCATCCGCCTTTTTTTTTTGAGATGGACAGTAGAATGTGATTCACACTTATCAAGGACAAAGAAAAAGCGGATTCATCAAGATCTGTTTTTTCCCCATGATTATTTTGCTGGGTATCTTCCTATAGTAAATCTGATCAATTTTCGTACATTTATAGACCATCTAAAAGAAGACATCTTTTCTCTTCAGTTAAACCCTGGTTCACTACAGAGAAATCGTTTATAGGAATCTAAAGTACCAACTTAAATAGCAAAGACACTTATAGATTAAATTGAAAGTTTGTGTTTAATTAGAAAATTTTCTTACTAATTTCTTTTTTGTTTGTGTTTGATTATTGATTTCTTTATTAATATCAAAAATTGAATTACGTAAATCATTTATTTCACTTTGTAAAAAATCTGCGTCTTGTTTTAATTTTTCTTCATCATATTTTTTCTAAAACAAAAGAAAAACCCATCAATTTTATTGATATTTAATAACAAAATTCATACTTTTTGACGCATTAATCCTTGAAGTTCACTTTTAATTACTGATAAACGTCGACGATTATGATCCATATCATATTGATGACTAAATAAAAGATTAAGAAATAGAAAAATTTCAAACAAGTCGATATTTTTATTTTACAGTAATTTTGGTTCGTCTTCGTCACTCATTTTTGTTTTTTGTTTTTATAAACGACAATAATTGACTAATAATTAATCGTATGAAAATGAATCCATTAATATTTGTCGTTGTTGTTTATTGATCATATCATAAATATTTCAATTCAAAAAAAGCAATCATGAGAGAAAACAAATCTTCTCGAATTGACCTAAAAATCACGTGTTCAAAGATATATTAAGTATGTTTTATAAACAAAACAAAGGGTATAAAAAAAATATCAACGTAAAAGAAAAAGAAAGAATGAAAAAAAAAATATATACATTAGAATTTATGTATCTAGGTCTAATAGTGGACAAATAGTATTGACCAATATAATTTTCAATATATTTTTCTTACGATTGTACGAAAAAGATAAATAAGAAATTCAGTAAATATATAAATTGCTTTTATTTTTAATTGTTAATAGTTTTTCCTGTAAATGTTACTTAGCGTCATCTATTGAATATGAAGAATTTTTAAGAGATTTTTTAGGAAATAATTTCTATGAATTTTTAGATGCAATTATTGATAATTTAATGATTTTTTCTTAAAAAACAAATTTTATATAACCTAGCAACCAACAAATATTAAATTTCGAATGAATTTATGATTCAAGAAACAGATCAAAGTAATTTTGGTTCAAACTTTTCAAAATTCTTGGCAACCTACGCAATAAATCTATTTTAAAAAAAGAAATCGATTAAACTACTTCACAGACGTATGCAGGTACTATTGTTTCGAATTAACTTGCATGAAAATATAAGTTTTCAGTAGATCATTTCAATAAAATGAAAGGTTTATTATATAGTCAAGATGGCGCTTATGCCTTTCCTCTTGGCCCTAAAGTAACAACAGTTGGACGAGACAATTGTGACATAAGTATCAATGTATAACCTATATATCAATTTCTTTATATTTATAAAAATTATTTCTCGTGTTTCTTCATAGAGTCCTAATGTTGATAATCAACATGGATTAATAGAATATGATGATGAACAACGTTGTTTTATTTTAAAAGATTTAAACTCATCATCAGGTACTTATGTTCATGATTGTCGTGTACAAAATGCAGCTGTTCGACTGTCTAATGGTGATATTATACGATTTGGTTGTAATGGTTTACCACTTGAATTTCGCATTGAACAAATACAAGAAGTATTTTGTTTTTTGAGTAACTCTCGAAAATAAAAACCCTATTTTTGATTCCTATAGACAACAATGCCATCAATCTATCAAAGACAAGCAGCAACAAATTCTCTTCAACTTATCTCTCAAACAATTCCATCACGAAGAGCACCAAATGGAATAACTAATCAACAACAACAAATTGATGTTACACAAAATCCTGGATTTTCACTTCGGTAGAAAAGTGAATTATTTCTTCAATGAATAATTTTTCTTCTTCTATAGAACTCGACCATCAAGTGTAGGATCAAAAAGAACATCTAGTATTCTAACAAATCCTAACAATCAAGATTTAAATATGACACGTGATTCTCATGTTCGTAGTATGTATTAATATAATTATTGATTGAATATTTAAAAATATAATTATATAAATAAAAAATAGCGAATGCTTGGACAATAAATAGTACATCAAATAATAGTCGAAATATGATCAATGGAAGTTTTGTTGGTGAATTAGATATATCTTCACATGATAATATGGAAATAACAAATCGTGTTGATCAACTTGAAAAAGAAGTTAAAGGACGTGATGCAGAAATTCGTGGATTAAATGATCGAGTAAATTTGTTTTGATAATATTTTATTTTTAAATTGATTTTTTTCGTCTTCTTCTTTATTTAAAGCTTCGTAGTTTAGAACCAGTGAGTTCAACATTTACAAATGAAGTTCGAACATTAAAAAATGAATTAGAAAAAGTTAAACGAGAAAAACAAGCAGCATCAGGACTTATAACAAATCTTCAACGTGATCTACTTTTAAAAGAATCAGATGTAGCGAAATTAACACGAGAAATTGAAGGAATGAAAAGTGATAGTCGGGATAAAGATCTTCGATTACAATCATTGCAAGCTAAGGTAAAATATATGTTAAAATCTAAATAGTGCCGTTCTTCTGCATGCCTTCTTTTTACACTCGCTTCTGTTATGTATAGGAGGTGAGTGAAAAAAAGAATGTTTTTTGTTTATTGATTTCTTTATTACTAATTGTTGTGTTTGTGATCAGTAGAATTTTCGTTGCTACACCATTTATAAAACTTATGTTAATATATGTCTCTATTTAGTTGAATCTACTTCGTGATCGTAATCGTGCTGAAGAAGACCGATATACAAAAGAAAAAGAACTTGTAAATCTTCTTCATCTTTATATTAATTGCTTTTTAATGATTGTCTGTTTATAATTTAGAAAATGAAAGTTGCTGAACAACAAATAAATGAATTAAATGAAAGTGTTAATCGACTTAAATCACAATTACAAGATACTGAAACACAATTATTAAGATTAAATCAAAATGAACAAAAATTAAAACAAGAATGTGAAGATGCACGTGGACAACTTGTAGAACTTCAAAGAAATGAAACAACACTTAAAACTAATCTTGAAAATTCTGAGAAAAAAGTAAGAAAATCTTTTGAAAATCCTTTTACAATTCTTTCTTTTTGTCAATTTAGCATAATGAATTTTGTACAAATATATGGAAATGTTTTTCAACTGATGATGATGATGATTATGATGAAGACCAACATAATCTAGTTGAACAAATACAACAACTTAAACAACAATTAGATCAATCTCGAATTGAAACTCAACAACAACGTGATACTCATGCACATTTAAATGAAGAGCTTAGAAATTCACTTGCAAAATTTATTGATATGCTTGTAAATAATATCACTAAGAAATTTATCTTACATTCTCTATATTTTTATAGAAAAGTACAATGCAAGAACAAACAACATCAGAAACTCTTTTGAATATTCGACAACAAATGATTGACCTTAACGAAAATGCTCAAGACGGTACTCTTGTTGGAATGTTTAAACAAACAGCAATTAATATTATTGATTATCATACAAGATTAATTTCTGAAATCAATAACTTAGTTGTTAAACGTGAAGATCAACAAGGAGAATTACGTAAGTTATTAGTTTTGTGAACAAAAAAAATTTTATTTATTTTTTCTTTATAGCTGTGAATGAAACATTAGCTTTAATTCGCCGTCAATATGAAGATTTAGAACGTGAAAAACAAAGTCTTTCACTTGAACATACATCTCATGAAGATAGTTTTCGTTCTGAAATGGAAAAAATTACAGCAGAAAAAGAGTAAGATAAAAACAAATTTACTTAAACTTATCTCATAAATATTTTTGTCTTTGTTATTCAGTGCTTTTTGGCAACAACATTATAATGATGAATGTAATCGTCTTCGTGAAGAAAATGTTCAAGCACAAAATGATTATGATGAACAAATACGTTCATTGTCCGATCGTCTTGAGACAGCTACTTCACGAAATAGTGAATACCTTCAGGTATTTAAACGACAAATTTTATTTAAAATGCATGTATATCTATTATTAATTAGCAATGGAATACACTTCAAATTGAATCATCTAATAAAATTGACGAATTAACTACACAATTACATGAATGTCAACGTCAATTAACTGAAGAAGTTGGATTTAATTATTATTGATCTTTTTAAATTAGAAAATTTTATTTCTACTGTTTTAGAAAGAACAACAATATGGATTAACAGATACACATGAACGACAAAAAGAAGAATACAATCAACTTGAGAAGGAAAAAAATGCAACTATTGATGAATTAAAGTAATAATTTAATGATTGAATCAATTTTTTTCTAGATATTTTTCTTTCTCTAGTGCACAACTTATTGTTTACAGAGGTCAGGTACAACAATTTTCAAAAACAATTGTACAATTTGAAAAGAATTTAACTGAGGAACAAGAGAAACGTCTCAAACTACAAACTGAATTAGATGCTGTTAATAAAAAAGTGAAAGGTATTTCACTATATAGAAAATTTTTCAATACTCATCTATGCTCATTCTGAATTTTTTAGGTAAACCACCAACACCTCCAGTATCAGTTGAAAAAATAGTACCGGTACTGATGACTACGTCTGTTGCTGATGTTAGGTTTGTTGTTGAGTAAAGTTTTCTATTTTTAAATTGTTCTAAATTTAGTAATGAAGTATATGCCCATAAAACACGTATTCAAGAACAAGAACAAATCATAATTTCATTACGACGTGATCTAGCTGGTCTCAATGCTCGTTTATCTGATGTTAATGGTGAATTAACTGATAAACAAAAACGAGCTTTAGAAAAAAGTGATACAACAATACGTGATCAAACTAAAGAATTAAATACTACAAGAGTTAAATTATCAAAATTAAGTGATGTTGTTGATAAACAATCAGCAAAAATCGAATCATTACAAACGGATCTTGCGTAAGACTTTATTTTATATTTTACAATTAAACTTTTTTCTCTTTTTATAGAAAATCTAAAACTTTAGCAAATCAATATCAACTATTAGTAGATCAACGTCAAAATGATATTGATCGTTTAACACAAAATCTTGAACAAAAAACTTCCATTGTTGATCGAGTTGAAAGAACTCACCATGATGAAGTAAAAAAAACTTAATTATTAATCAAATATTTATTTAATTGAAATTTTCAGGGTCGTGTAACGCATGAATTCGTTGCTATTGGTGCACAATGTAAAGGTGAACGACATGAACAAACAATTGAACGACAACGTCAAGCATTAAATGAATTACGTGCAAGAATGAAATCCATAGAGCAATTAAGACCAGCTAATCCATCCTATGAAAAAACTTTACAACAAGTTGTTTCACTTAAACGTGAATTAGCAGAAATACGTGCAAGACAAGCTCTACCAATTGATATACCATTTTTAACAGCACCAGCATCAAATTCTATTCAACATCAATCAGCAACTATGTCATCACAAACATTAACAGCAGCTGCTTCATCTGGTATGTCACCTGAAGCACAAAAAATTATTGAAGAACGTACTGCTCATGCTGAAACTATGAATACATTACAATCATGTGATGAATTAGTAAGTCATAACGATAACGTAATTCACTCTAATAAACACTAGTATCGAATCGATACTAATTCAGGTAGATGAACTCACTTTTAACTTGATGCTTAAAGCTTAATGAAAATAAGAAGATTTGAGTTGACTGTAGTTTCCTGTAACTCTTTGTCTCTAATTGATAAATTTCAAAATCTGTTCATAACCTTGTACGTCATCAGGAGTGTTTTAAGTAAATAAATCGATATGTTAGCCAAGGGAAACAGAATCAATTATGATAAACACTTCATATAATAAATGGTCTTGAACATTCTTAGATGTCTACAAATAAATTGTTCAGTGATACATATTTCTATGTATCTTATTGTGACTGTTCAAGAGCTTTGAATAATCAATACGAACTATTGATTTATAACAGACATGAGCTCTTCATTTCATTTATCTTGATTAAAGATATTCACCTTTCCACCTTTACCGATGAAGAGCAAAATCTTTATATAGATTAACATCTCTAAAATAATGCAAAACAAAAATCTATATAATTCATGATAAATGATAACGTGAAAAGAAGATACCGTCACATCCTCAATTTATAATTTTTATATAATTTTAAATTCTTTCTTTCTTTTTAGTATAATACTTTTACACGAAAATTAGTTCGATTACTTGATATTGATGATGATACACTCTTAAATACATCTCCTCTATCTACTGTGCCAGCCAATGAACGTTATCTAGCTATACAACAACGGCAACGCATTATTGATATTTTATTACAAAAACTTGAGGTTAATTTTGTGTTTTTAATAATAAAATTAATTATTTTTTGTTAATTTTAGGTGTTACATGACCGCTTAACACGTAAAGAAGATTTATTGAAAGATTATGAAAGAGATTTAGGTAAATTACGTCAAGCAGAAATAATACTACGTGAAAAAAATATACTTGTACAAGATCTTCAAGTAAATTTTTCTAAGAATTTATTACCTCTAAATTCTTAATTGTATCTAGACCGATAAACAAATAAAAGATGATGAAACTTTATTTCTTCGAAATAGTTTAAGAGAAACTCAAGATACTTTAAATCAAGAAAAACGAGTTAATTCATCAATTAAACTCGGTCGAGTATGTATTTAGACAAAAGAACATCAATTTTATTTATCATATAATTAAATTTTATTCAATTAAGAATATTGATCAAGTACAACCAAATGAATTAATTCGTCGGAATGGTGGTTCAGCAACGACACTTCATCATCATTGTCCACCAGATATAAATGGTAAAATTCATACAGTAAAACGAGATATGAATGAAAAAATTAATCGAAAAAATTACGAAATTAAAACATTAAAACAAGTTCGTTTTAACAAAAAATTTCTAAAGTTTGTTTTTTTCTAAATAATTTTCTTCTAGGAATTACACGAAGCTTTAGATACATTATCTGAACAATCACATAAAGTTAAAGTACTTGAATTACAATCGATGGTAATTATGAATATTTACTTGTTTAAATAATAAAATTGTTCTCGATCTTCTAGGATATATCAAATGGTACAATCAAATAATTTATATATTTTTATTTCTCATTGAGTGTATGCGTCTTGTAGAGGCAATAAATAAATAAAAAATGAAACTCGCTTTTTAATCATGTTGAATAAACTCATTGTGTATGAGCTTTAGGACAAGAAAAATATCCAAATAGAATAAAATGTTAATGAATATATGTGAATTTATATACAGAAAAAAAAAGAAAAGAAAACGAAAGCAAACAACACATAAAAAGTAAACTAAATCGATGTTAAATATGACATCTGTTCATCTAAAATGAAAGAAACAAAAATATATGTTTATAGTACATTTTAGAGTTAAATGATCATGAATATTTTTCGAATAACTTTTCATAGGATTTTGTTAAAAAGTTGGGTGGTTAGCTATGTGTACGATATCTTACTGGTGGTAGTTAGGAATAGAACATTGATATGCTTCTATAGCTCTTGATCTGGCGGGTTCTAGTGCACTTCTGAAAATCAATAAATTAGTATCACGACCAAGAGAGGTATGATGGTAAATCTCGAATAATAACTTTATTCTATTCAAAGAATTGAGGCATAGAAAACATTTTAACCGAATCAAAAGTAAAAAATTGGAAGAATTTGATGAATCAGTTAGAAAGATCTATACAGCTGTCAATTATTATTTTCTTGCTCAATAAGAAGTGGCAAACCCCATCGGAAGCATTCATGTAAGACTTTAACATTACAAACGATATTCTGATATATCTATTTAAGACTTACCCTAATTATTTTCCACGTTTATGATTATGTCGTAATGGTAATTTTCTATCATGACGTTTGATAGTTTCTAAAATTAATTTAGTTGCATGTTCTATTTCTGCTTTTGTTCCTCGAATAGACATTGGTCTTCTTGTACTTTTTCCTTCAGCTTCATAGATAACAATCCAAGCATTTGATTCACTTCGAATTTGATGTAAACGTGATGAATTAGGTCCAAATAAAGCTCCTGCTTGTGCATCAGACAATGTCCAATGTCTTTCACGTAATGGTTCAACTGCTGTTTCTGATTGATAATTATTTGTTTCATTATCAAAATCTTCAACATCTTCATCTTCATAACCACTTATATCTTCTTCATCATTTAAATTATTCATATTTGCTGTTGTTGGTAATATTGATCGTTGTATAGATAATTGTAATTGCCGATCAACATATCCTCCATAATCATCAGCTAATGTAACATCATAAAATTCAGGTGAATAAAGAAATGTTGCTTGTTGATTATGATCAATTAATGGAGTTTGACACATATTTAAATAAATTTCAGTTAAACATTCAATAATTTGTTCAGATTTTGTTCCTGTTAATAAAAGTATACGTTCAGTTGATAATGGTGCACATGTTGGATAAACTTTAACATTAGTTAATCCATATTTATCTTTAAGCATTTTAGCTCGACTACCTAATTGTCCAATAATAAACGGTGCATAACATTCATGAATTAATATACGTAATTCATTTGTTTGAGATAAGATTTGTTCAATAATTATTGTTAATTGTTGAACATTCGTTGTTATAAGTATAGCTTCTGGTGATGATGGATGAGTTAATAATGTATATAGTGTATTATTAATTGAATCAGGTAATTGATTAATATATTCACGTTTAATTAATATTCGACATGGTATTATTGTTGATGAATTTGAATGAATAAGATATGGTCGATGATTTAATTTAACTTGTTGACAATTAATATGAAAAAATAAATTTGATATAGAATCAATTTCATTTTCAAGCCAAGATAATCGTGATGAATAATTATTTATATCAGATGATGTCATAGGAACTAAATAATAAAATTAAAAATATATATATAAGAGTAAATTTTTAAAACCTGTTAATCGTTCATCATCAAGTAAAACATAGAGTGTTTGTCGAAATGTATCTAATCGTTCATAGGATGTATCTAATTCAATTAATGTATTTAAATACATATCTTGAATACGTTGAAACATATTTGAATGCCATTTATCTAGATCATTTTTTAATTGAATATATTGTTCATCAAGTGGTTGAGAAAGTGAATTTAAAGTTGTACGAAGTTCAAGTATTTGATTTTTCATTCGAAATTATATATTGATCTTAAATGTACTAAAAATGTCAAGTTTTAAAATTTCGATCGAATTAAAATCTGATCAAATGTATAAGAAAAGAAAAGAGAAAAGAATATAATATAATTTCTACGGTTAGAAAGAAAGAAGAATATGGGTTTTTTTTCAATGGCATGGAAAGGAACGAGATGATTTATGCATAGATACATATATATATCTACTTATATGATATAAACACATAAGATTATGGATCGTGTAGATAATAGTTTATTTTACGTTATAACATGTCGATCAATGAAAATTTATATTATTAGAAATTCATTGCATTTTTTCTTTTTAATGTAAAATGACATTGAGCATTATAGACGGTACTGGTGTTCGCTCGATTTTTCTCGAGATAATTAGTATGTAACTAGATGCTGGTGTCTTTAATCAATTAATATGAGATTATACGATGACTTATGTAGCTTATTAGAAAAGAATTATCGATGTTCATTTCTGTATAAATGTCGAAATAGAATACATCGTTTTAATAAGACATGTGATGACTTAAATTGTATTAGTATACTCAAGGAAAAGTTATTTGAAGAACTTGTATTATCTAACGACATCTATTCTAATACATTAAAGAATGTTTTAAAAGTATAAACTTCTTTCAATCTTCATTTCAAAAGAAATGTATAGAATATAAAACTATTCGATCATTGATTTTAGATAATTTTAAAATGTTGCTAGACAACATAAAGCTTGACTTATTAAAAATGGTATCAATACAAAACAAACGTTAATATTGAATTTATTGACATTGTTAAGTAACTACGTAAAAATGAAGAATATGAAAGTAGCACGTCCACGTTTCTTCACTTCCAATGAAGTTCAATCACATAATACAGCATCGGATATTTGGGTATCATTTCTTGGTCATGTCTATGATTTGTCAAAACTTGTCGAAGAACATAGTGGTTCGTCCTAGGGTATCTAATCTATATGATAAAGATATTTCATCGGTAATTTATTTATAGGTGATGTTCTTCTCAAACCAATTATTGATGTAGCTGGTTTGGATATTTCACA